TTGTCAACTATAGCTATCTGTCACGTGGCGCATATCTCTGATTCTTTTTTATAGTACGTGTGACCTGTACAATACGCGTAATTCAACGTGTTCCTTCTATGTTCGGAATCACCGCTTACCTTTACTGTTATTCATTTATTAAGAGACTTAAATCGTACTTAACACAGATAGTCTTTTTCATCAACTATCCAAAATTTATAACATTTCTGGCAACTAGGTAAAGTTTGTATTTGCCATAATGGAAATCGCTTACCTCCATTAACTCTTCATTTTGCTAACATTTTTAACTCATCATAAACCATTTACATGTAAAGATTTACTGAGAAGAAATGTTACCTAGTATCTCTATTCCTATAAGGAAATTTCAGTAATTTCTAGAACAAAAGAGTTAAACAACACAGACATATACAGTAAATGCATATGACAGTAAGGTAAGTACTGTCTCAATCATTTTGATACCATATTGTGTTCCATGCTTTAAAAAGTCCTATTAAGATGAAACAGCATCACTGAAACTACTGCCACTTCACTCCAAGTGAATTCAGATGATGAACCTGTGACTTGAATGTACTTGAAACCTTGTAGGAGTGATCCTGACTGCGACTTCTCTGACTTACTAAGACAACACTTTTATCGTACATTATGTCTGATTCTTCTTCAATCACCACCACAACTAAATGATTTGCTATCTTCTCCATCTTACCTGCTTGCTCTTCCAAAACATCTACGAACTAACCAGTAAAGAGGCTGGGTACACACAGCAAAAGGTAAATTCTCGATATGATGTGATGGTTCCAAATGTAGTCCAATAGCATGGTTATTGAAACTAAGCTAAAATGAGATGTGTCATCGCCTGTCACAAAGAATGAAGCGATTGTTTAAATTTCGAAAATTGATTCCTCATTTAAACTTACACTTATTTTAATCGGCTTATGATTTCCATCTTTAAACTTCTGTAATTTGAACACTAACCTTTCATGAGACAGGAGTTTACTATTATACATCCACCTAGCATCCTCTTTCAATGATTAGCAATGTCAAGAATTCCCACTTGAATTATTAGTCAAAATACTCTGCTTTCGGTTACTTAGCAAAAGTTAAAAAATCTTTCTTTGTGACTCTACATCATGAAGAAAAATTTGAAGACTTGCAAGAATATGATTCGGAACGAACTCCAATTTTGTAGTTGCAATAAACGATGACCATGCACATCCTGGAGCCCAATCCCATGGACAACTGTCACTTTCAATATGTTTTATTGCTGGGCATAAAATTTGCTTCAAGTCAATCTGATGTAAAATAGCAATTGATTTAGAAGAACCTAATTGAAAAGAAATTGAAAGCAGAAAATAGGAAATCCGGCAGAAAATTTGTCTTCATATAAATTTTCTTTTCCTTTCTTATTCTTTTTTAAATTCTTTAAAAAAAGAATTTTTTTATTTGCTCTAACTTTTTAAGCCCTAACTTCCAGATGACAAATCAATTCAATTAATTTCATTCCTTTAACTCCATTATTTTTGATAGTTTTTACTATGTTATGTTAATGGGAGTATGACGGTAATACTAACTTGTAGTCGTATGTCGCTCACATTCGTTTCACACTTTTTCAGCAACAAAATCTTCAGATACAATTCACCCTGTTGAAGAAGAAGCACCGATCGTATTATTATCAATGATTTGCTGGTAAGATTCCGCGCCGCAGATTCCTCATGCCGCAGTAAATTGGGTACTGCTGAAAAAAAGTCGCATGATTTCACCGGATTTTATTACTGTTCCGGTGATTACGGGAAAAAATGGAAGGATGAATTATGATAATAAAAAACCAATTGCTAATAGCTAGGCAAATATAAAAATGGAAGCCCAAGAAATTTTATGAAAGTGCCAAAGAAATTTTTAACAAAACTCAAAGCCCATTTCAACTTTTTTTTTAAAATCATTTTGAAAGCAACAATTCAGTTCTAATTAACAATACTTGGTAAGCTACTAAATCACTTGAAAATCGTGTAAAACAACTGGAAGGGATTTTTAAATAAAATGTTTATACAATCGACCTGCAAGTGCACTGAGCATAAGACTGTGTTAGTATTTCAAAAGTATAGGAAGCCAGGTATTAGCCCTGTGAACGAATCAGACAAAAGATACAGTGAAATTAGTCATTGATTAATGAAATTTAGGTTCAGTGGAGAACACATAATTGAAATATTTAATTTAATTAAAGTTTTAACAAAATTTGAAGTGCTTATAAAATAGATGCAGAGTTAATACTAGTTGGTATGTTTACTATATCAGTGATAAAAGGGATAAATAAGAAAAGGTGTGAAAATATTTGTTCATCACACAAGTGATTCAAAACAAATTTATGCAAAGCTTCGTTCTCTGCAAAAATTTCTTCGCTTTGATAAGCTTCACGAGATGTAATCCTAGCAAAATATGAGATAAGGAAATCAATAAAACAGAAGGGACTTCATGAAATTACTTAAATTTGGCGTGATATACTTGCAACGTGTACGCACACACTTATACGCAAAGATCTTATTCTAACAATATATATATATATATATATATTGCTAACATGTCGGCATATGTCAGACACAGTTCATATTACGTGATCAACGTGATCAAAGTAACTCATTCAACGTATTCGAGAAGTTTAAAGGAGAAAGCAGGATTAATTCAGATTAATTGCTAAATCAATTCAGAACTCACCATGTTGTTTACATAAGAAGCCGTCGTCTCCAGTAGCTGTGCTATCACGTAAATTAAGCCAGGGTTGCGAGAAACGTTGACGCAGCAAAAAGAGTGTAATGGAAAGGAGTAATGCAGTAATAGAGAGTGAAACAATGATCACTCCAATGATAAACTTCAAGAATAAGCGAATCCGTGGAATGGAAAATCTAATCGCTGAACAACCTCGCATACTTCCGAAGTGAAAGAACAAACAAGATGCAAGCCATCTGGCAAAAATATAGTGAAACATTGAATATGCAAATTCTGAAGTTTGATTTTCGCCGCTTGCTCAGTTGAAATCTTTCGAAGTTTTGTGATTGCTGTGGATGAAAGTGATTTACTTGCAACTGAAATAATCTTAAGCTGGATATCCTAAGATTCTTTCAATTGATCAACTGCAGTACTGTCTTCAAATATTAAAATTACTTTTAGTAATTTCTAGAAAATTCGAGATAAATCTCATTCCTCACATCTCAGTGAAATAAGTCTTCGATGAAATAAAAGTAGACGCCGTTATCATGCTATTACAAATAAAAATTAACATGTACCTGAAGAGTCTAGAACAAAAAGAAAAAATCTGAGATTTAAAAATTATCTGGAGCTATGCGTCCACAAGTACTCAGTGTGAGTTCGCAAAATCACGTATAACTTTACCCATGGAGAATCGATATTTAATAGATTTTGCATACAAAATGAATCAATGTATGACTTCTAATGAAACTGAAGTTTTAAAATCAACAGTAAACTAGACAGTCAATGGCGCTTCTCACTTAAATTTTAATTGTGTTTTATCTTTCTGACCGGTAAGTGATAAGAAATGAGAGCAACAAATCTGGAAAGTGATACAGATCATGATGTGATAAGTCACATTTGGATGGGACATGGAAAGCATTTGAATCAATGAATCAGCTATCACTAATGAATAGTGATAGTATCAGTGCAACAGAAGCATATCAGTATCGCATGAAAGAATCTTTGTTATTACTATTCTATGATTACTTTGGGATACAGCAAGAAGAGAAAGTATCTTCAGCTTTCGTATGATATTATGATATTAAATCGTTACATTCATATCAAAGAAAGCCAAAAATACTCACTTAACTTCCCATCGTCACTAAAACACGACATTTTAACAGTTCAACTTTTCACCAAAACATGTAACTCAGCTTAATGATTACACGACTTACATGAGTACTTCCGGTTTTGGAACAAGGAGAATGCGTTAAGTTGGTATGATGAGTAGTTGAACTATGAAGTATTTGGATGCCATGCGGAACAATAATTCCGGATTGCAGCTAAAGGAGAAAAAATGGACTGAAAGTAGCTTTTATCCATGAAAGATAAACAAGCGAAACTGAACACGGGCAGATAGGAAATAGTCGCTTGCAACAGACACCCATCAAGCATCTTCCCCGCCCAGTTCCAGGAAAAAAATGATCCCAGTGCTTTCCATCTCTCAGATCCAAGGTGCCTTGTAACGGTAGCACCAGTGGCACCGAGCACCAGGGAATAACAATTAAGCATGGTGGGAAATACTGCCCGGCGCATTGTAACAGAGTGCTGCTGGTTGGTAGCAGGAGAACAGAATGTACGGTGAAACATATTAAATCGAGGGAATTGTCCTGCCATCGGGGTGTATATATATATATATATATATTACATATTCTTAGCAATAATTCACTGCTTCACATCGAAGAGAGTTTTCCTAGAAACAATTCAGGTGACACTGCACACGTGAGAGATGCATGTTTACGCGTGTTTCCATGATAATTGTTTCTAAAAAAAGACCACGCGCAGTTGGTTATCGCAATTGATAAGTAAACGTCAAAGGTATAGTTTGAATTAACTCAGATTTATTGAGCTTTCTATTCTCTTTAAATAAAATCGTAGACTGCATATTGTATCTTCAGTTCATTATTATGACATTAGTTTATGCGGGAAACTTCTAAGTGTATCATATATTACTTTCAAATATTTAACAAACATTTAAATGTTTGAAAAGGACAATGTGTTCCATGTCAAGATAGGCAAAGGACGACACAATTTCAGGAATTTTGCATTTTTTATAGAAAACTGAAGCAGAAAACCTTTCATTAAAAAAACGATTAATCATAAGAAAATTCAATTAAAGTGATGAATTTAATGTTAATCAGTCATATTAAAAATCATCTCCATTCTGGAAGGATCATCAAATTTAAAGTTTTGCAATGCATCTCGTGGGAAACATTTATAGATCCTTCTATATTTTGTCAAATACCCAACACTTTTTCCCTATGATAACTAAGCTTCTAATGGAAAATCTCAGAACCTTATGTATACTCGGAACTTTAAGTAAGTTTTTTTCTGAGTATGTATAGGAATAAAAGAGTGTTACAGTGGGTAATAAAGAGCGTACTTACTATACAGGAAAATATGTTTTTGAACTCCGGACAGTCAAACTAACGAAAGCATCGATAAGACGACGCTATGGGAAGAGTACTTTCCGGGTAGTGACCGGCCAGCAGTCAGCACGAGAGCTCAGTCGCTCAGTCCTCCTTCATTTCGGAAGCATTTCATGTGAAGCAGTCGCTAGTGAATTCAAAACTTTAAAGCTGGGCGAATTTCAGTTGAAGGTGTCCTCTACGTGTTGCAGCGAGATAACAGCGAAACAGCGTGAGACGAAAAGATAAACAGCCACTCTCTGCTCATTCAACTCAGTTGTGGATGACCTTTGACTTCAGACCTCAGCCTGATTAATGATGCTTTATATTAAGTACTCGTATCTCATTTCTGTAGTGTTTCTGCCATGCTATGGATGAATTTTCATTATTTGGATTCGAACTGAGGACTTCAGAGTGACTGAATCATTTCCTCAATACCTGTAAGATTTTCATCAACATTTTCTCTTTCATTATCTTGCCCCGCATGTGTTTTCGATACTCTTCCGGTTCAATATTATCGGGAAACATCGCGTATCTTATGAGAATGTTTAATTGAAGTGTTTTCGGTTGTTTCGCGATATCGGTCATTCTGTCACTGTAACGACATCTGTTTTCTAATCTTAAACTCTTTTGAACGCCTTATTTTCACTTCCTTCCGTCATTTCTCTTTTCTTCTGCAACCTGTTTTTATCAACATTTGGTTCTCCCTATTTTATAGTCTATCTATATACTTTTACTACAGTCACTAACTGTTATGATGATCAGTGATTTCCCCAGATTCATAACGTAATTGCCTTCTTGTTGTTTTTGCTACTGTTATTATCATTATTTTATTATTGTGATTGTTGCTGTTAAAATTGCAGTATTTATCAATATGACTGCCACTTTGTTTTTTTCAAAAACATTCGTCGAAAGAAAGTTCACATAAAAATGCAGTTGTTACATGGTTGAACAGAAAAAAAGTACTTAGGTCGATCTCCTGATGTTGAATCAGCCTTATTCATTGACTAAATCTGCAAACCAATTTCAATAACATGGATATCTTTATTCCTGAGTGCAGCAGTAGTGGTACGAAGTCACCAGAGGAACGGAAGGAAAACGAACAGAGTAGTTTGCCACTCACCCATCTTTTTGTTGAATTAACATCGCTTGAAGAATTAAGCTTTCCAACGAGTTCATCTACTCGAATTAAGGTTTGATATATAGACTAACTTTTTTTACGGAATATTTGATAATGCATTAGCTTCCATATCCTGTTTTGTTTAATACGGAATGATCTAGTATAAATTTCCATGCTTCATCTAACATTTCATGCTGTATTTTGGTTAAAGAAATCCATTGAAGTCATCTTTAGCCTCTGAAATTTAAAACAAGAGAATTTTTATTTACAAATTAACTCCTACAGCTTTGGGTTCCTTATTATTTTTTCAATTTATTAAGTACAGCTTTTCTTTCTTCTCATCCTAGTTTTAGTTGGAATATCTTTTTCTTGATAGTTTAAAGTGGTCAGACATGTTCAAATTTTAGAACCTAAATTTGTCTTCGTTTTCAGTTCATTTGTTTGGATGCATCTGCTCATTACCTAGCCGTCGGATCGACAAGTGGAACGGTTTATTTATTTTCAAGGTTTGCTTCGAAGTATCGGAATCGCATAAGCTCTGTCCCAATACAAGTCATTTCCATCAAGGACGGACCTATTATCAAGGTTACATAGCTTGTTTTCCTATTTCTGATACTTTTCATATTTCAATCTCTTCTAACCTTCAATTTATACTAACTTTACTCTAGATTTTCAGATTTAGTTTTAGTACTTTAGTACTTTCAGATTTAGTACTTCATCATAGCAGTTTTACTTGATCATCATTCATATATTAATTTTATCGAAATTCTTGGTAATTTCAACAATTTATAGTTATCTATATCACCAAATGAGAAATATTTGGCAACAGCAAGCAAACGAGGCTCCCTAACAATTACAGTCCTGGTTGATATCGGCCAAAGTCCTATTACGCTTTTTACTACCGACAGTCATGTTGGTACAGGTGAGTTTTGTCTTTCATTTGAAAAAACTCATGACCGGAAAGAAAGGTAACGTTTTTAGATGAAATTTTTTGCAAGAAGTGAGATATTTCTCTTAATTAGATTTTATAAATTTCTACAATAAGACTTTTCTACTTATGAGAGGTTTGGAATTAATAGCTTGTTTTAGAAACTTTAATTTTGTTCTAAAGAGCGTCTGAAGATGAAATAAGCATGTGAAGGTCTTTGCAGCGAGGAAATACCGATGTAGATTACGTTACTACTTCACACCATTAATTGTGTTGTATTTTTCTTGTCAGAAGCAAAATTTCATAAAATCTTAATTCTAAAAAATTTTACAGATCAATATGGTCAAGCAGTCCATGTCACAGAATTGAGATGGTGCAGTGATAGTTCCAAAGTATATGCTGGAGACACAAAAGGACGGATTAGTCAGACTGTAGTTCATGTAAGAGTAATGAAACTTTTTTTAAAATGAGGTTCTTGTAGGATATCATTAGATTTCTTAATTACAAAATATGAGGTTTGAAATGTTTCAGAATCGTAACTTTTTTCGCTCACCAACTGATATTATATTTGAAACAGATAGCGAAATTGTTCAATTTGATTTACGTGATGATTGTCTGCTTGCCTCTACCTTAACGCGATGCTGTGTTTGTGATTTGAGAACGTACAGTTGTATTCAGGTCAGATTAAAACTTTAATCGTTTTATATATCAAGTTTTTATCCATAAGTTCTATTCTTATAATGCGTTGCTTTTTGTGATAATTGTAGGTCTCTATTAACCAAATTTTATGCAAACTAGATGAATGACTTGCATTACACTTTTTTTCCTTTACAAAGCAATTTTCTTTTGGCTGTTCAGTAATCATTTATTTATTGCTATTCATCGTCATATATTGTTCTTACTCGAATAACATGCGCAGGAACAATGTTTTAACTGTACGTTGTCAGCATTTACTTTTTGCATAGTTAAGGTTGGGAAAAGATTGCGGAAGGGTCATTTTGGCGCTATCTTTTATTCTGACCAACAGAAACGGAAATCACAATATGGAGAAGAAAATGGCATGACACCAATGAATACAAAGGGATACAACGAGTTGACGGTGATATTTGCTAGTCGTCCAAGCGGTCGATTATGGGAAGCTAATGGTCGCGGTGTAGTTTACAGGTTTTGGTTTAAATGTTTTCTGAGATAAGATTTGTCTAGTCCACCATTGAATCTATTCAAATTTTAGAAGCGATTAAATGTATTCAATTTTTATTATGTGATTGGTACTCCTTGATATTTCTATACTGAATATATTATGTTGCAGTTAAAAAAATATCATTTCTATTGTTATCAGAATTTGCAATTGTAGCACTCATCAATACCGAAATTTGAAAACTGTTCGTCGATTTCCCGTGGTCTCCTTCAAGAAAGATAACTTATTCGACAGCATGGCTAGTGTTAATGAAGTTCGAAATATCAATTTCGGGCTTTTAACACTGATCAAATGTCAAAAGTAAACTTTAGATTCTGATCTTATTTTTCATGCTGTTGTTTGAAAACGCGAAGTTCGAGAATCTAATCTTGAAATTGGTGTCGATATTGACTCTTGGCATGATGAATCGGTGTGAAGTATACTGTCTCCTCATTTCAATAGTTAAATTATCAAACTTGAACAAATATTTACATACTGGTTGTGACATAACGTTTAAAGCTTTGGAATTCACTAATGTTGTTATTTAAATAGCTGTGCATGCGTTAGTGTCACATTTTGATATATGCATTAGTTAAGTGTCACATTAAAAACAGGTTTTCAGCAATTTATTTTTGATGACAAAAACAGATACAACATTTTGTTTAATCGATCCCATAGACAGTCATATGGTACTTATTAGCACAATGGATTGTATAGGTATGTCCTTCAGTTTACAATTCACTTGAAAAGCACTGAAAGGAAATGAGATCTTACATAAAGGATGGAAAAATGGAAAGAAATTTCAGGTTCAATAAGTGAATATGCGGTAAATGATGCTGATGTCTTCCTTTTATCGGAAACAGGTAGTTTACGAAAGTTAACGTTGTTTACGATTGAGAAAGCTGTAGAAAAACTTCATTGGAGGCAGTGTTACTCACAGGCTCGTTATTCTTGATTTTTTATCCTTCTCGGTCATAAATGTTATCTACATAGTAGAAACTGTATAATGATAATTGTATTGATAATTCTGAGAAAGGCTATCCGAGAAATAAAAGATATAGGATTTCGCAATGAAGCAAGTGCTTTCTAGGCTGCACAATTAATTTACGTAGATTATGTCATGAACAAAAATTACAACTCACTTACTGCATGGAATTGTGAGCAGCTGGAAGATATCCTGAATAAAATAACAACATTTCAACACTTTAAGTCGCAAATAACACATGTAAGTTCCAAAATATGTGTTCCGGGTTTTCTTCTACTTGGTAGTTGAAATTTCTACCCTTGATCTTCTGCTGATGTCATATTTTGTAGAATGTGCTTAATGCTTTGCACAAACTTCTGAGTGAATTGAAAAGAAATGGTGCTATTGGAGAGAAACCAAAAGGAGCAGTTCACCGTTTGAGTTCAGGTTCTTGCTTCTCTGCCATCTTTTTTGTAGTTTGAAAAATTAGATTTCTAGATAGCATACTTTCAGGCATTCATCGTGTCGTTCAAGCTATGCAAAATAGTGGTTATGAGGATGATTTCACTTTCAGAGCACCGTCACCGCTGCGATTAAGGAGCAAAAGTACTTTGCATATTGAAGTGTATGATTTTGCTGCATGATCCAAAACTTTGTCAGAACTTTCTTAACTGTAGTTGTAATTTTATTTTGTTTTAAATCATTTGAATGGATCTTTCTTGATATCATAGCAATTAATAACCAGAAGGAACGACTGGAAACGAAGAAGTTTGCCCTTAAATCAGAGATCCGTGATGGGAACTGATGAGAGTGAAGTAAAATTCGAAGATGCAGAACAACGTCATGAGAAATTAGTAAATGAAGCTCGAATGTTGTTGGTGAGATTTGCTTCCTGCCTACATTTTTATTTGCATTCTTGTTGTTCAGTAGGTAATTTTGAGTGATGATAATAGCTATTATTTAATATTACTAAATTTAAAAGATTTTTTCATTTCTTTTTTATAGTTGGATGCCGAGAAAGCATCAGCAGATCAATTGATGCGTAATGATAGTGTTGAGT